TTTCAAGCATGTTCTTTGCTCTCACCAATAATGAACAAAATTCCCTCCCAGATTAAGTGCTGCAGTCTTTTTAAGTGTTTTCCTTTCCACAGGTGAAGGTGTGGAATCTCACCAAACATGAATGTGTTCGTACTCTCCAAGCGCACGAGGGCTTCGTCCGGGGAATGGTTGTCAGATACTGCGGCACTTCCTTCTTTACGGTAAACAGTCCTGCTTCATCACCTCACTTTCACTCAACACAGAAATCTACCAGCAGCATAACGACGTATGTTTGATCATCACAGATTGGTGATGATAAAACAATAAAACAATGGAAAATGGAAGCACCGGGATACGGAGAAGCGGAGGAGCCTCTTAACACTATCCTTGGCAAGGTAACCAATCTTTTAATTTTATTCATTATTACTGATTTATTACTTTGACTTCTTCTAAAGAGAAGAATCCCTGTCAGACTGTGTTCACAGGACTGGACCATCACCTAAAGAAGGGTGTATTTGCAACGTGTGGCCAGCAGGTGGACATCTGGGACGAGCAGAGGAGCACCCCCATCCGCTCCTTCACCTGGGGGGTAGACAGCTTCAGCTCTCTCCGTTTTAACCCCGTGGAGGTAAGACGGCGCCTTCTATATCCACTCCTTTCAGAGCAGTTTCCCACAAAGCCTGCTGGTTTAATCCCAAGTGAACCGTTTTCTAATCCCAGACTGAACTCCTCGGAAGCTGTGCCTCTGACAGAAGCATCGTTTTATACGACATGAGGGAATCAACACCTCTTAAAAAGGTAGATCCCTCCAGTGCACCAAATCTTTATTTCCCTTACTTGTTTCTTTTTTATGACAGTCATATTCTTGAATGATTAAAATCAAACTTTTATCCTTTCAGGTGATCATGACCATGAGGCCTAACACGCTATGCTGGAACCCGATGGAAGCCTATATTTTTACATGTGCAAATGAAGACTATAAGTGAGTCTAAGGGAGAAATGCATTCAATCTGTCTTCTGTGTTTCCATTACACATATGTGCCAAACCTTGTTATTTATTCTATAAATGGTTGTTTGATGGTCAATGATAAAGAAGCTAGTGGCTAATTATTTTATTGTATGAAGAAGTTTTATGGAACAAATATTATTGATCTTAAAACTGAAATCAGAGGTGAACAATGTTTTAAAATGATTTGCATAAACTTTTGTCTTGTTCGCCTTAAAAGATGTGGTTAAGGCTGGTTTGAGGCCCTGTAGTTTTATTTTAAATCCAACATGATTTTCCCTACAAATGCACCGCATAAATAAACAGAATATGAATTAAAATCGAAATCAACAGAAGTAACGGCAGCAAAGCTGCATGCTGCCATCTCAGGTGACACCTATCTTGTATATTTGGTGTTCATCCAAACGGCTGCAATCTTAATAGTAATATTAATGATCACTAGTTTAATTAATGAATTGTCCTGATATAAAATGTCTGACTTTGTTTAACATTTTTAAATGAAATAACTGATGTTCCCGCTGTATGCTGAGCAGAGCTGGGCTGTTTGAACCCAGGTTGCTTTCAGAGTCATTGAGCCGCTCCCACTGTCACTAAAAGCCAATTGTTTAAGAGTTCAAATGTTTTTTTTGGCCAGTGGGATACGTGTATTTTATTTTTTAGAAACAATTGAGATCTGAATCTAACAGAAAGCCTTTTAACCTTTATTAATAGGGTGCAGTGACACTACAAAGGTGTGCACTGCAAAAAAAGATATATCTAAAGAAGTATTTTTTCTTAAAATAAGTGCATTTTTTTCTTGAATTGAGGACTTAAAGTGAGACACTTTGCCAATGGAACAAGACAATTTACATTTGAAATAAGAAAAAACAATTGTATTGTCTTATTTCAAGTGCATATTATCTAATTATCATATTTTAAGAGTAAAAAACCTAATTCCGTTGGCAAATCATCTCATTTACTACTCAAATTAAGGGGAGATACACTCAGTTTATTTATTTTTTTACTTATTTCTAGATAGTTTTTGCAGTGTGACGTCTTTACAGACTCATGCACTGCAAAAACCATCTAAAACTGAGTAAAAATGTCTTAAAATAAGTGGATTTAGCCTTAGAGTAGGTAAATGCGATGATCTGCCAAGGAATGAGTGCTTTTACCCCGGAAATAAGACAATTGAATATTCTTGTACTCGTCTTTCCCTTTATGGGGGGGCAGCAGTCTTAGACTTTTAGACTTCCTTCTCCGCAGAGACATCCTCCAACTCTGCTGGGAGAAGTCTGAAGCCCTCCCAGGCCGGCTGAGAGACATAGTCCCTCCATGGTGTCCCCTGAGCTCCTCCCGGTGGGACGTACGAAGTACCACTGAGTACCAGGGAGAGTCCGAAAAAGATGTCCGTACAACATCAGCTGACTCCTTCCGATGTGGAGGAGCGGCTCTACTCCGAGCCTCTCATAAATGATAATTAGTTAATTATTTATATATTTAATTAGATATTACACTGGGAAAAAATGAAATCTAGATAAGTAATTTTTTCTTAAAATAAGTGCATTTGTTCTTTAATTGGGGAGATAAAAGACATTTTGCCAATGGAACAAGAGAATTTAGATGTAAAATAAGAAAACACAAATGCATTGTCTTATTTCAAGTGCATATTATCTAATGATCTTATTTTAAGAGTAAAAATACTCATTCAATTGGCAAACTTTCTGATTTACCTCCTCAAATCAAGGGTAAGTAAACTTAATTTATGAAATTTGTACTTATTTCTGGATAATTTTTCAAGTGTATGCACTTTAAATTAGAGAACTACGTTTAATTTTTTATTCTTTTT